AAAGTATTATTCATGAGAGCCTGAACCGGGAAATAGCTCCGTAGCCCATCTATAGTAGAATGCATAGATAAACTGTGATACAGTCATACAATAGAATATAACCCAGCGGTGACAATGAGTAGACTACAGCTGTGCAAGAGGAACCTCAGCCTGTAGTGCAGCAGTCGTTCCAGATACTCAGGAGTCTGAGGCAGGAGGATCCCTTGAACCCAGGGGTTCAAGGCCAGTATGGACAAGATAGAGCTCATCTCAAAAAGCAAAAATACAAAGTTTAAGAAGTAGTTAAATATTTAATAGCACAATGTGCATATGTATTAAATCTAATCAACAGTAGTAAATACTTATTTCATGAGGATAGTATGCTAAGGACTCAGTTTTCTTACCTTTATTTTTGTAGGAATATGTTTATCCAGAAGCCAGAGACAGACAATACTTACTATTTTTCCATAAAGGAGCCAAAAAGTCACGTTTTGACCTAGAGAAATACAATCAACTCAAGGATGCAATTGCTCAGGTAAGTTTTATAAAAATTAAGATAATCAAAGCCCATCTTGTATATTATTATCCATAACCAGAGTACTTCCAATGGGTAAACTGGGAGAATGATCCAGCCCTCTTCCTCCCATATAAATTATTCCTCAGTTAATAAAATTATCTAAGCAACAGACACTTCTATAAAGGTTTTACAATATAAGTAGATGAAAATATTGCAGGTTCTTTGTATCCTTTTAACGTTAGCATATTGATATTTTTAGGCCTACTTTTACTTTGGTTTCTTTAGAGTTGTCTACTTTTTCTCTTCTTTTAATCTTCCTAGAATTATTGACCCAAGAACTCCTCGCCTAAAATGTGTGGTAGCAAAGAGGTGGAAGTAAAATCTTAAGGCAGCTGTGTGTCTGCACAACTATAGTACAGCACTCCAGCAGGTTGAGACAGGAAGACCGCAAATCAGAGCTCAACCTAGGCAAGAGATAGCTTGGCAGGAGACCCTGTCTCAAAC